GTCTTGTTTAGAGAAACTTGAAAATATGACTTCCCAGTAAGTAGAATCAAGCTTTCTATCTAGCCTCCTTGTAATCACCACCAAACACCAATTGAACTTGGTGATGAGTGCATAGCTAGAGTACCAATGAGTGCTCCTCCAAAGTCATGGCCCACTCAGCAGAATTGAAAGAGAAATTTGAAAGAGCAGACCAGGGACATCAGCTACTATTAAATGATATGTCCAAGAAAATTTAACTCAGATGCACTGAGCTATCAGTGCAGCAGAAGTCTAGGTTAATCTTGCTTACCACACATAGTTACAGTTTAAATAATAAAATACTATAGCCAAACAAAATTGATTTGGAAATCTAAAAGCGTCATTCAGTAAATGAATATGTTAATTCAACATTTCTAATTACATACCTACTCCACAATTTTAACACTAAAACCGCCCCGAAACTGTAGCCCCAAAACTGAACATTTAAAAAGAGCATGCCCACTGACAGACACACATAATACCTGACTGCATATCAATACTGAACCCTAGCTCAAACACCCAAGATGTGCCTAGCCATCTTAGAAACTTGTATTTAGTCTCACAACTTGTGAGGTAAGAAAGTACTACAGTCACTTTTTAAAAAATATAGAACGCAGACAAACAAGGCCAAGTGACTGTCCAAAGATCACATAGGAGGTTTGAGTCCCTAGTCTCCCTCAAACTTAATTCCCTCATTAGTACCCTAGACACTAGATCATCCTTTCTACGACTATGAAAATAATCCCAAAATATCCCTGCAATGCTCACCTTCTTGTGCTTCTTTCCCAAGAGGGAGAGCTCTACATTGATGTGGTTAAAATCCCGTCGCAAAGTTCCTCTGGGACCTTTCACAATAACTGCCCGGCCCTTCAGAGAAATGTCGACTGGAAGACAAGGAAAGCAAGTGTTAACCTTTTGCAGGGCGAGAACACAAAGCTTACGTGGAACAAGCAAAAGACTGTACCTTTCTCCGGGATGTCAACAGTCTGGTTGCTGAGAATGGTCTTCATTCTACAACGACAACCACAGGGTGAGAGCAGAGACACCGCACTGCACCTTTCCCAGCCAGCGCGCCCCAGCCCACACTAAGCCCGGCCAAGCTTCTTCGAACCGGGGCTCACAGACCAAGAGAGCGGCCGCTGCGCCGCTCCACACCCCGGCCACGCCACGCTGGGGGCCCGGAACGCGCCAGCGGGCTGCCCCGCGCCTGGACACCCGCCCTTAACGCGCCTGGACACCCGCCCTTAACGCGCCACAACAGGGACCGTGGGTCACTGCGAGCGGGGCAGGCTCAGACTCACGCGCGGCGAGAGGCCGCCGCAGCCCCCGCCCGGCCCGGTGGGCGGGGGGAGAAGCAGCGCCGGGCCCCGGCCTAGCTTCCCCGAGACCGGGGGTGGGGGGTGTCTGTGCCTGGGGCTCTGCCCGCCGGCCCGGGAGCAGACACACCCCCGGGGCGCCCAGCACAGTCCCTAGAGCCTCCTTGTGCCCGGCGCGGCATCGTCGGGGCGCGGGAGGGGCCCGGTGCCGTGGATGGAAGCAGATCGCAAAATAGGAACCCTCCTCACCTCGCTGCAGACCGAGGGGAAAGGGAGAGCGTCTTTCGTCATCGCGTTCTTGTATCCCCTCCGTCTAGCCCTGACGTTATCACGCTCGGCCACCCGGCTCTGAGGCGGGAGCAATCGACCGCCGAGCTCACGAAGGCCCGAGCAACAGGGGACTGGGGCCAGGCAGCTCAGCTGAGTACCGATCTGGCCGATCGGGACTCGCCCTCGGGGCTCGGTGAGGGACACAGCAGCCGGCGGTGGCCATGGCGCTACTCCAGCGCGGCTGCTGTGGAGCCGCCGCCACGATGAGCCTGAGGCGGCTGGTGCTGGGGCCCCAGGGGCGGGTGAGTGAGCGAGAGGGGCGGCCTGCCCCGGTCCCGCTCGCCAGGCAGCTCCTGCCCCGGGCCGGGGTCTTCCCCCTGCGCAGGGCCCCGCAGCGCCGCTGGGCCCCTCCGGGTGAACTGCCCCGGCCCCGGCCGCGGCCCGGTTCTGTGTGTCACCGGGACCTGGGCTCGACCCTCGGCGACCAGTGCTCGGCTCTGCCCTGCGGCCCCGGACCCCGAGCATCGCCTGGCTAGTAACCCGCGTCTCAGTTGTTGGCCGGGGTCACTCCCTGCTTGCAGGCTTCGCTCTCCCACTGAGTGGCTGTTTCAGTTATTCTTTTTCCTGAGTGTGTGTGTTTTGCGTTTTCCCAAGCTGAATCTCATTTCTATTTTATCTGTGTTTCTAGTCCGAATAGATTGGTCCAATAAAAGATATTACCTTACCCACCTTGTCTCTCTAGTACCCTGGGACCGACTGGCTACTACAACACTACTGCATAGATCCCTTTGTGTTTCTTCTGTGTCCTCCCTGATGTTTGTGAGATCTCCCAGTTTAGTGTCCTCTGTAAAGGGCTCGAATTGTGGGGAGGAAAGACTGGTGGTAGTGGCAGGACACTCCCAAGCTGTACCCGCAGCTGAGCTCTGGTCACTTGAGATGGCAGAATGAGATGCTTCTTGCAGCAGGTGTTCAAAATATGATTGTTGCAGGCTCTTTTGAGCCTGGCTCTTCTGCAGGAGTTCCAACACACTATGCATAATAAGCTTGTGCCTCTGGCCCAGGATCGTAGAGTTATATAATGATGTCTGGCTCTAAGCATTCATTAGAATTACATTTCTAGCTCACATGGTTGCAAAGGAAAGCTCGAAAATATGATCTGAGTGTAACTGATGGAGTTATGTTTGCTTGTGTCTGCAGTCAGTCCTCCAGTAGAGAAAGAAGCAGCAGCCACTAGAGCCATGAAGGAAGCCACTTAGCCCTATGACCATCAACACAGCAGAGATGGCCCCAGCTGCTTTGGGACAGGAAGAATTGAGGGACTAGCTCTATAGGATTGGCCCTCTTGGTGAGGCTGGGGCTTGGCATGCACTTAAACGTTAGGTCAGCATAGCTGTGTCGGTCAGGAGTGTTAGAAAATCATAGCTCTTACTAATCCACAGTGAAGATGCAGCTATGTAAACGGAAAAGTGCTTCTATTGACTTAACTAACTTCATTCACCAGTGTAGGCTGCATCTACATTACAGGGTTATGTCCTCATATCTGTCATAGCTATACTAGTATAGTCTCCGTAGTATAGACATCTTAGATCTCTGGGATCTGTTCTTTCCCTTGAGCCTTTTGGCTCTATAAGACAGATTGGGAGAGAAAAATCATGGTACCTCCCAAATGCTGTTCATTTGTGTCTCCAAAACGAGATACCACTCACAATAGATTGTATTGGTCTATCATTCACCTTTGCTTTTCTTATATGTTTTGATAACGGTGAACGTTCACGATGTTGATATTTACATTATCATCACTGGACAAATGGGCTGCTCATCATCAGGGCATTGGGATGAATGGGGCAGTTCAGACCACTCTGAACTATTGTTTTATGTTTCCGGCAGACTCAGGCAGACATTGTTCCATTGGTTTACACCACTCATTTTATGTTTTCAGGGTTTTCTCCAGAACCATAAAGGCTACCATTTTTTTTTAATGGAAATTAAGATTCTGGATGACAAGAGGGCAAACTCAAAAAAAAAACTCAACCAGAAAAACCCAAACCACTGGGTTTCTGACTTAGCCCAGTTTGAGTCGTGTTCATTGATGCCATTTATCTCCTCTTCCAGATGCTATTAAATAACACTGGATCCTAACAACAAACTCTGTAGTTTCTCACTAGACATTTCCCCCACCACTTGATCATGTTCATTTTCACTTTTTGTTTGCAGTCCTTCAGTTAGTTTTTAATCAACATGACAATATTTATACCCAAACCCATATTAATTAATGTTGAAGTAAGATCTTGTGGAACTTTGCATTCCTTCCTGTCTGTCTTGCATGCATTGAAGCCGAAAGGATTATTATTCCAAAAACGCCACTGGGGCACAGAAGATCAAACAATCTGCCCTATATAGTGGGTCACCAAAAGGATTTGAGAGCTTTTAAGACTTTTGTGGCAAGGTGGCTGAGGCATTCCAACTGCATCACCTAGAGGCTTGCTTGGCGACATCTCCCATTCCCCCTTAGCCGTTGGAGCTCACTGAACAATGGCAGTTTCCAATTTTTAGGCCTAAAAAGGAGATTCTTTCTCTTTGAACTCGAAGGTCACCAACTTAAAAACACTACACGCTTTCCCACGTCACTACTGATTTTGATGTGCAGGTTACTATGGATACTTTCTTTGGAAGATGTATCTTTTATATGGTAATTTATTATGCTTTTGTTTTAAATCACTCTGTGTTTTCTATACTGGTTACTGCTGGTGTATTTGAATGCGGCTAAATTTTAGTTACTCCATTTCTAAGAATGTACCTGCCCTGTTGCAGTAGTGGTATTGGAGCTCCCTCCTGTTTGCAAGTTTTTGAAGATTATACTTGCATGTGCTGTACTCTTTTTGCTCTAGTATGTGCTTAACCAAGCAATACAATAATTTAAGCTTATTGCTTTGTTCACATTTAAGTGTTCAGCTTCTTCCCTTGTTTTGATTTTCACTTTTTGAAAGTTACAGGCTTTGCTGCATCTGTCCCCTTTCTAGGGACTGAGACCAGAAAATGTTATTTTCCGGTCTCCATCTGCTGATTGCCTATGTCTATATTTGCATATTATTGTACCTGAAAACAAGAGCCAAAATTCTGCCATTGGATGTGTGTTCATAGCTCCCATTGAAATCAATGAGAGTTGAGCACAAACTTCCAAGGATGGAACTTGGCCTTAAATTAACAGGTAAAAAATATACCTTTCACAGTCGTTCTCTACAACTCTTGTAAGGCCTGTAAATTGTTAACTTTTTGCCTTCTGTATCAGCTCTCAAGAGATGCATACCATCAGTTATCCCATACATATTAGCACATTTATGATTAAAAGGGTAATACAGTTCTGCTCTGTTTAGGTGTGTGAAAGCCATGTGTGTAGCCAGTACAGAGCATCAAGTTCTTTGCCAGATGAAAAGAAGGAGTTTCTGCAAAATGGACCTGATTTGCAAGATTTTGTGTCTGGGGATTTTTCTGATAAGAGCATGTGGGCTGAGTATAAAGGCAATTTAAAACGCCAGAAGGGAGAAAGGTAACTGTAGCTTTAAGAAATTACATTCTACTCTGATGTAGTATCATGCTTTGTTTAGTACTTGATATCTCTTGTATTCTACTGTACACAAATACCTGCGTATATCATATAATTTTTTGTCAAGTTGTGTGATACTGGAATGGCTACTTCATGCTTCATTTTGGAAGGAATGGTCATTTGAAGAGGGGAAAGCATTAGTTTCCCATATGAAATCTTTAAGCACAACATGCGGAGATAAGATAGCTAATAATAATTTCAACACAGTTGATCAGATTAACTGTTATGAATACAAGTAAAAAATTGGAATACCTAAAACACCATTGGCAATATATTTTTATTTTCAGTGTCTTTGGCCCAAAACATAGTGAATGGTTCCACTTACATAGCTCTATTTTAATTATAGCTGGGAAAAGAGTCACTTATTTGATTCATAAAATGTTACTGGAGATTCACAGAACTAAATAAATCACTTATGATTTTGGCGAGATTGATTTTTTTTAACCTAGCCCTGAATGTATTCATGCTACAGACAGGTTGCACCACAGTTGTTTGTGGTTTATTAACAAGTAATGAGTCTGTAAATTGGTAATGCCCAGAATCATTCTGTGTAAAGGCAGTGGTAATATCTGAAAGTCTCATCCAAAAGTAATGTAATCTGCTCTTATATATGTTTTGCCCTACTTTAATATAGTAACTGTAGAACTTGTGTTGGAACTTGTCCAGTGTTAATTGCTAATTGCTTTAGTACACTAAATAATAAATGACAGAATAACAGCCACCCATCTTTTATATAACCCCTTTTATTATTATGACAGTCTGTGTTAATCTATAAAATTTGGTTCTAATCTGAAAAAGTGACTGTAAAATGACATTTGGGAACTTTATGTTTAGTGTCTCAATGATTTCCAGACCAATTCTGCCAAGTTTACAATTTAAGATGATGATTTTTTTTCTAACTTCCAGCTACACAAAATCAGTTTGAAATCTTTAAAAACAAGCTGGATTCTTTCTGGCTGATGCATCTCCAACAATAAAGAGTTTGCAATAAAACCTTGTCCCCTAATCCTGTAAAGAAAATTATGTCGGCAAAGTTTGCTTTTATTTACACCCATGAAACTCCATGAAGGCCAGGGAAGTTCCACCAGTGTAACAAAGGGCAGAATATGTCCCATTCTATGGCACTGACCAAAAGTTTTTAGCTATCCATACTGAACTGGTTGTGTACTTTGAAAAATGCACTTTAAACAGTATTCTTGATGAACAGTAGTAGCTATGATTCCGCTGGTGAAATAGCCACCAATATACCTTGAAGGCATTGGAGTGTTTGTGCCATGAACAGTAACAAATTATAAATATATATCAGTGGGAACAATATGCCCAATTTGTGTTTTTGATAAATTGTTGGGAGTTTTTTTATTTTTGTTTTTGTATGTAGATAGATTCATGAAGACTAAATTCAAAAGCTGTGAAAAACAAAATGAGCCACCCCTTCAAAATTTGCTAGGAGTTTGTAGTAGCTGTGTAATTATATTGCCAATGTCTGAATTACCATACATAGCATGGCAGTAAGGTTAGTGATCCTAAGCCCTATAATTGTGGATACTTCCATCTTAGCTTGGTGGCAAGCTAATAAATGAGGATGGAAATGAGGAGTATGGTACTTTTTTGAAATATATTAATGCTCATTTATGAATCGTGACCAGCTTCAAGGAATCTTTCATACCCAGAGGCTGTAACAAAGTAAAGTAGATCTATGAAATTAAGTGATTACATGCAAGTAATTTATTAATCCTTATATTTGCTTGATATTATTCAGGCTGCGACTTCCTCCATGGCTAAAAACTGAGATTCCCATAGGAAAGAACTATAATAAACTGAAGAGTACACTGCGAAGTTTAAATCTTCATACTGTAAGTCTAATGCCTGACACGTTTTCTTCTAGGAAGAAAGCAATGTTTTCATGATGTGAAATTCACCCTTTTGCTCAGGAGCAGCAGAGAGCCTATGCATCACTTATGCCTTTGTGGCTTTAGTGGGAACATATGATGCATAGGCTTTGTCCTCTGCTTTTGCACAGGGGTGAATTTCACCCATAGAGAACAAGGGAAGAAACAAACAGTAGAACATTGGACATTTTCCCTGCAATGATCTTAAATATGGTGTTGTGTTTCTCAAGTCCTCTAAGAAGTCAAAAGATTATCAGTGTGTCTAATTTAAGTGGAAACACTTGTATAATTTTTGGGACTGTATATTAATAATTCACATGAAAAGAAATTCAAGAAATGTGTTCTCTATTAAATATGCCTCCCCACTGATGGAAAGAGACAGAAGATGTAAGACAAGTGTAAAATTCTTTTCTTCAGGAAAAGATTGTTCTGTAATGTATCACAGATCTTGTGAATTTTTTATGAACTTTTTTATTACATCTAAAATGTGCATAATTAATGCAATTTAGAATATGCAATTCTGACAGTTATAAAATTAATATATGGAGATATACCTATCTCATAGAACTGGAAGGGACCTTGAAAGGTCATTGAGTCCAGTCCCCTGCCTCCACTAGCAGGACCAAGTACTGTCCCTGACAGTTATTTTGATGAGCAGTTTTCAGGAAGTTGTGTAGTTCAGAAGAAGAATGGTGTTGGGGTTAAGACACAAGATTGGGTGTCACGTGACATATGTTCTCTTCCCAGCTCTTCCACTGACTGGGGCAACTCACTTAACCTATCTGTGATTTAATTTCCTCCTCAGAATTTCAGTACCTGTCTCAGAAGAGAGGACAAATTCCTTTGGTGGAAGGTGCTATAGAAATGCAATTTATTATTATTATTAATGTCATTTTCATTATAGGTGTGTGAGGAAGCACGTTGTCCCAACATTGGAGAGTGCTGGGGAGGGGGTGAGTATGCTACTGCTACAGCAACTATCATGGTAAGTCAATAACCACTTCTTACAATAGGAAATATATTCGGTTGGTAGCAAATTTGGGTATACAAAAATCTCCAGCGTAGTGACCCATGTATATTATGCTACAGTGCACAACAAATCTCTCTCTTTAACAGTATTAATAATTGATTCTTTGAAGTAGCATATTCAGTAGTTTCTGAGCTGAACAATACAAAGTTTAAAATATAAAGTTAACATAATCTTTTCTTATTTCAGTTGATGGGTGACACATGTACAAGAGGATGCAGATTTTGTTCAGTAAAGACAGCAAAAAATCCACCTCCATTGGATCTTAATGAACCCTACAATACAGCAAAAGCTATAGCTGAATGGGGCTTGGATTATGTTGTATTGACATCTGTAGACAGAGATGGTTAGTATGTTGTCAGTAATGTCTTCCAGTGTAAGCTCCCATGCACACTATGCAGAAGTTTTAGAGTCCTCAGTCAGTTTGGGTTATTAGAGGTATATGGTTTAAACTTTTATGTGATTGATGAAAGGAATGAATGACTTAGAAACTTTTCAGAGATTACAAAATGCTCTTCCTGACTAATCCTTACTCCCCTACTTCTGATGCAGGCAAAATACACATAGAAGACATACAATTATGTAATTGGTTAAACGTTGGTTCCTTATGGAACCGATTCAGTCTATTTGAGTAGAACCTAATTTAAAAAAAATATTGCTACCTTGCCACTAAGGTAGTAATGGTTCTTTTGTGCTGTTGCTATCTTGGTGGAAAGACTGTATCAGAAAAAGAGTGTTTTGTATTCCATTGAAAGACTAATAGTTTCTAACCATGGCTTTCAATAAAAGAGCAGGAACAATTTCTTTTTGTGTACATTTCTCTTTTAAACTACCCCTGTGGGAGAAAAAAGAAAATACAGATCTGTGCTAAAGTTAAAGGGGCTAAGGTAAACTCATCTATAATCAGGGAGATTTACAATGAAGGTTCTGACTCTGTTCTAACTAACCGTACTTAGCCTGGGTATTGTAAGAGTATGGTAGCATACCTATTGTACAATTTAGGCATAAGTAGTAAGTTAAGGGTGGAATTTCAGCTTTAATTTAGAATCGCTTTACATTTTTGTGGTTAGATTAGACTCTTAACATCAAAGCCACACAGAATTACACAAAAGTATTGTTTTTAATGTAAAAATACCAAATTATTGCATTGTTTTTAGATATTCTAGATGGCGGAGCAGAACACTTTGCAAAAACTGTATCACACTTGAAGGAAAGGTACATTATTAATTTATTACTATTAATTATTATTCAGCATTTATGTTGTGGTAGTGCCTAGAGGCCAAAAGCAGACTGGGCTCTATGGTGCTATTTGCTGTACAAACATGTAATAAATGGCAGTCCTTACCTGGAGAGCTTATATGTCCACTCCTGGATTTTTCATCCTCGCTTGTGTAACACTGTTAGATTAAATAGATAGGCAGGAATGTTCTCCTGCTGAATTTCAGTTTATCCCAGATTCCTTTTAAAAATTAAGCACTAAACTGTTTCTTTGGACCACACATTTAGAGCAGTGGGAAACATCTATCCATTTTTTTGTGGATGTTTACATTTTAATGATAGGGTTCTAGCACAGTAATAATGGGTTTGGGAAAAGATAAAAACCTTTGTAACTGGGTTCCAAAGATAATCTGATTTATTTTTCAGCTCTGACCTCTAAACTTTGCCATTTTTTACAAAGAGGTGCTCTCTGTGACCCTGATTCCACCTTTATACTTTCCCATTTACATCTTCTTCTACTTTCCACTTTATACATTGTGCCAGCATGTCATTTTGGTAGCATGTTTGCATCTTTGTTAGAAGGTTGTAGATTTAATTCCTGCAGCCTGACTTGGGCATTTGCCTAATACTTACCCTGTAATGAGGACTACAGGGACTCACTTCAAAGTCTATAACCAGTACTTCCTTGATTACCTGGAAGTGTTTCTGTATAGCAGTGGTTCTCAATCTATTTACCACTATGGGCCATGTATGCAGCTCTCTGTTTTGTGGGCTGCATCTACACAATATATACTACCTGTATGGCCCTGAGGATGTCACATGGGCCTCAGCTGTGTGCTGATTGGGCCGCAGGTTGAGAACCACTGCTGAATAGTGATGCAAAGTACTTCTCCATCCATCTTGGAGGAGCCAAATTCCAGTTATTGGGGAACTGGATTAGATTCCCAAATAACAATTCAAAGTATTTACAGTCCATTAGGTCAGATGTCCCCTCCGTCATTAAGAAGTTCAGATGTTCAAATCCTATTAAAAATCTTGCTAAGTGTAGTATGGAGCAAAGATGAAGAAAATGAAGTTCACATGTAACTTGCACTTAATTTGAGCAAGTCTGGTGACTCAGTAGACCATAGAAATGGCTCTGATATTATGTTCGACTTATGCAACATTCATTTTATTTCGTGCACTAGTCAAAGCAGGAGTTGCACCTGTACAGTAACTCCTCACTTAACATTGTAGTTATGTTCCTGAAAAATGCAACTTTAAGGGAAACAATGTTAAACAAAACCAATTTTCCCATAAGATTTAATGTAAATGCGAGGGGTTAGGTTCCAAGGAAATTTTTTGGGGGCAGACAAAAGGCATTATATACTGTACAGTACTGTGGTTGGGAAGTGCCCCTGGCTTACCTCACACAGGCACAGCCCGCTGCAGGCAAGAACGCTAGGAAGCACCTTCGTAGCAGCAGCAGCAGCAGTTTCCCCTGAGAAAAACAGGCGCTGACTTTGCCAGGGGATGCTACAGGCCCGCCTTTTCCCATCCCCGCTCCACTCCAGGCCCACCTCTTCCCACCCCCATTGCACCTCCTCTCTGTAGCACGCCACATCCCTGTTTCTTCCCCACACCCCAGAAAGTCCTAAGCGCCGCCAAATAGAACTTTCTGGGAGGGAGAGGGAGGAGCGGAGACGCGGCGCTTCTCCGCTCCTCCCCCTCCCTCCCAGCGCTTCGCGCTTAGGACTTTCTGGGAGAAAGTGGGAGGAGCAGCCACCAAACGGGGGGAAGCACTGGGAGGGATGGGGAGGAGGTGGAGAAGAGGAACTTGTGCAATGCTCCCTTGTAAAGTCGCTGCTCTTACACAGACTCTTACAAGCAATGGACAGAGCAGGCAGCCAAACGACGTTATAAGGGAACATGTTCCCTAAATGAGCAGCGATGTAACTTTGAAACAGCGTTAAGTGGGAGGACGTTAAGTGAGGAGTTACTGTACTATGTTTAGAGTAAAAACTAACTCTCAAGTATTTTCAGTGCTCCACTGTTTTAGATGTTTACCTAACTTAACTTTACTTTGTAGATTTAAATATCAACATCGTAGATTTAGAGTTGTTTTTAAAAATATTGAATTTTGGTTTCTTTTAAAATATTCTGATATTTTAGTATCATGTTATTGAAATATTTGATTTGAGCATCAATAATAGAAATACCACGAGCATGTTCATTTTTCAATCTTTGTTTTTCAGGAATTCAAAAATTCTAGTAGAATGTTTAACCCCTGATTTTCGAGGGGACCTTAAAGCAGTGGAGAAAGTTGCTTTGTCAGGACTAGACGTATATGCCCATAATGTGGAAACTGTTCCAGAGTTACAGAGGTGATTAAAGGTGATCTATGTATATAAACAAATAGTAGGATGTATACAGTTAGAGGGTATTCTGTAATGTTCTTATGAAAGCAATATTTAGATCAACCAACATTAAACCTTAGCTATAGGTCCCTTTAACTCGACTCATTGTTAGTACATATATCACTTACACTTATAAATAGTAAAAATCCTACGTACCTTATAATAAAATAGCATCTAAAGTTAAAAATTAAAAAGTAGACAATACAGTTCTATCTACCATAAATTTTTAAGTAAATTTTTCAATGAAAGGAAAAATAGTGATTTTAACAAACATCAGGCTAGATCTGTTTCATAAGAAAGATAGCATACAAGAAAGATACATGTGATTACATTAAAACAAAATTAGTTTTTTTCATTTTCGTTTGCTCATTGGACCTCTTTTTGGAAGGAAAGAAAATTTACTTGGTAAGCCAGTCCCTGTACATTTTTTTTAGCATGTATTCAAACCTACCTGGCTGCATAATTGGAGCACCTGGAGCACCCACAGAGTCAGCGCCTATCACTATGGAATTATGTTTTCAAAATGAGGATGTATTTATCACACTTTGGCAAATAGCCCACAGCATTTCTCCATCATCATTATGTCTCAGTACCACCAGTGGGAGCCAAGTCCAGTTGTCTTCATAGAAAAGTTATGTTACACCTCCCAGTGAAACTTCCAGAATCTTCTGCTTTCTTCCCTCAATAGGCACGTGTGTTGTACATGATTTTGACCAGCAGAGGGCTACCTATCTTGTAAAGTAGCAGATTAAAAGTTTTATAGACCTTAAAAAGTGGAGTCAACCAACTCCTTTTCTTTGAGTGACCAATGTTTTTCTACCACACAGGAGGGTCTCCAAGTACAACTCCATATCCCCAGCCATTGGCCTTTTTTCCTAATAACTTGGAAATTCAGAGTGATATCATCACTCTCTGAAGTCTCCAGCTATACTGTCTAAATTCAGCTTAAATATGGGTAGGTCATATCCACACTGCTGGTCAAACTGTGTAAACTGAATTACGCAAACCAGTTTTAATGTATGTTTAAACCTCCTACTTTTAATGTACACTAAAACTTCCCCACATAGACTGTTCTTAAGTGGCTCCAACTAAATTTTCATGTAGACTTCAAATACAACTCTGTCAGGGCTGTTCCCCAACACAAGCAAAACAGTTTCATCTTTACTATTGTTGATTTCTTTGCAATATGATAGAGCTTGTTGGCCCTACAACCATCAGGGCCTCAATATTATAACTTGTACAAACACTTGATAAAAGACCATCCTCGCCCTAAAGACCTTACAATCTAAATAGACAGTGGGGTTCTGCACAGAACAGCTTGCAGGATTGGGGCCTAAGTAGATACTTATATGTGTCCTACCACTGTAGTATCTTCAGCACCTTTGCTACTCCTTGGGCCAGATTCCCTCTCGTACCAAGATATACTCAGCACAGGAAAGAGTGAGTGCAGGGAGGGCCACTGTCAGAGACCCAGTACCAGCTCCCGGATTCTCAGACTGTCCCAGCCCTAGGGACCATATACCTGCTCAGAATTTTCATAGGGCAGTGGAGCTCTCCTCTGCCCCCTACTTAGCCCTCTGGGCCCTATTATGCCTCTTCCCTTTCCTGACACTTCCCCTACAGTGGAAATGGGGGCAGGGTAAAGTGGGGAATGGCATTAATGATAGCTCTGTCAACTTTACTCCAGTTCCATTAGGCATATTCTCAACTGGTCAGCTGTGAACCAATTATATTCCCGTTGCACTGCTGGGGGTTGGAACTGGGGTTGACAATCTGGCCCCTAGTGGTTAGCTGGAGACAATTTTCTGCAAAGCTGGGCTCACAGAGCAGCAGCACTTTGGTTGCATCAATCACAAGAGAAAGTAATGGAAACATTTTTTTTAAAGTGAAAGCTTGGTTTTGCAGGAATTGACAAATATTTTAGAAAGTTGCTAAAATCTCAGTCCCCATTTTTTTTGCACCTGTGATTTGTCCAATGTCCCTTATCTCATGCATATCTGTGTTTTGTTTTGTTTTCCTATGGTCAAAACAATATGAATATTTTTGAAGGAAAGTACGTGATCCTCGGGCCAATTTTAAGCAGTCCTTACAAGTTTTGAAGCATGCTAAGAAGGTCCAACCTGATGTAATTTCTAAAACCTCCATTATGCTGGGATTAGGCGAGACAGATGAACAAGTATATTCAACAATGAAATGTAAGTTGCATAACTTAAGTATATGTATAAGCTCTACCATGTTGGAACATAACTGCAAGCATGGGCATTGCAATATAACTAAAATGGACGCACATGCATATAAGTTGGTCTGTTGGGAAAAATTGTTTTCTAACTTTTTTATGCAATAAGGTTTTGTTCAATTTAAAAATTGAAACTCTGCAAGAACTGTTGTTTATACTGCTTTCAAATCAACAGGAATAATTTCACTATCAGAGTGCTGCAAGGGCCTGATCAAGATGTCATTGAAAACAATAGGCATCTTTCCATTGACTTCAGTAGGAGTTGGATCAGTCTTCATATCATTTAATGTTCATAATCATTTCAGGATCTCAAATGTGTACATGTAATGGATGTTTTATTTATTTCATTGTACTTTTTTTGTTTTATAAATAACATAAATGATTTTTTCTTGTTTGCAGAATAATTCTCTTTTGATTTTCATGCACAGATTATTTTAATTATTCCTCTTCCCTGAGCTGCAGTACCGTCTTATATGAACTTTTGCACTTACCTCTAATTTTTGAGAAAAATAAAGATTAATATAATGTAAGTAGAACCCTCTATAGGATGAAATTCGTGAATTCCATATAATTCCCCCCATCTTCACCCCAGGACAGGCTGCAGGCCTGTCCATCTACAACTACTCTGTGGTGTTTCCAGGCAGCATGAAAGTTAAGATTCAGTGTCTCCTGCCTCTAAGACACATTTGTGTCAGCATATTTGGAGCCAGAGTTTAGCCCACCTCCTTTGTGTGCAAACCACCCCCATATATCCATCCGGTTGGTCTGATCTTGCTCTTCTTCCCTCTCAGTGGCAGGAGTTATATGACATGTGAATTTACTAGGGCTATCGATTAATCGTAGTTAACTCACGCAATTAACTCAAAAAAATTAATCGTGATTAATACAATTAATCATGATTAATTGCAGTTTTAATCACACTGTTAAACAATAGAATACCAATTGAAATTTATTAAATATTTTGGATGTCTTTCTACATTTTCAAATATGTTGATTTTTATTACAACACAGAATACAAAGTGTACAGTGCTCACTTTATATTATTTTTATTACAAATATTTGCACTTAAAAATGATAAACAAAATAAATTAGTATTTTTCAATTACCTCATACAAGTATTGTAGTGCAATCTCTTTATCATGAAAGTGCAACTTACAAATACAGATTTTTTTTTGTTACATAACTGCTCTCAAAACCAAAACAATGTAAAACTTTAGAGCCTATAAGTCCCCTCAGTCCTACTTCTTGTTCAGCCAATCGCTAAGACAAACAAGTTTGTTTACATTTACAGGAGTTAATACTGCCCTCTTTATTTACAATGTCACCAGAAAATGAGAACAGGCATTTGCATGGCACTTTTGTAGCCGGCATTGCAAGGTATTTACATGCCAGATATGCTAAACATTCGTATGCCCCTTCATGCTTTGGACACCATTCCAGAGGACATGGTTCCATACTGATGATGCTCGTTAAAAAAATAATGCGTTAATTAAATTTGTGACTGAACTCCTTGAGGGAGAATTGGATGTCCCCTGCTCTGTTTTACCCACATTCTGCCATATATTTCATGTTATAGCAGTCTCGAATGATGACCCAGCACATATTCATTTTAAGAACACTTTCACTGCAGATTTGACAAAACGCAAAGAAGGTACCAATGTGAGATTTCTAAAGATAGCTACAGCACTCGACCCAAGGTTTAAACATCTGAAGTGCCTTCCAAAATTGGAGAGGAACGAGGTGTGAAGCATGTTTTCAGAAGACTTAAAAAAGCAACACTCAGATGCAGAAACTACAGAACCCGAACCACCAAAAAAGAAAATAAACCTTCTGCTGGTGGCATCTGATTCAGATGATGAAAATGAACATGCCTTGGTCTGCACTGCTTTGGATTGTTATTGAGCAGAACCCGTCACCAGCATGGACGCATATCCTCTGGAATGATGGTTGAAGCATGAAGGGACATATGAATCTTTAGCGCTTCTGGCATGTCAGTATCTTGCAACTCCGGCTAAAACAGCGCCATGAGAACACCTGTTCTCACTTTCAGGTGACATTGTAAACAAGAAATTGGCAGCATTATCTCCTGCAAATGTAAACAAACTTTTTTTGTTTGAGCAATTGGCTGAAGAAGAAGTAGGACTGAGTGGACTTGCAGGCTCTAAAATTTTACATTGTTTTATTTTTGAATGCAGGATTTTTTTGTACATAATTCTACATTTTTAAGTTCAATTTTCATGATAAAGAGATTGCACTACATTACTTGTGTTAGGTGAATTGAAAAAAAACTATTTTTTTTTGTTTTTACAGTGCAAATACTTGTAATCAAAAATAAATGTAAAGTGAGCACTGTATAATTTGTATTGTGCTGTAATTGAAATCAATATATTTGAAAATGTAGAAACCATCCCAAAATATTTTTAAATGGTATTCTATTCTTGTTTAACAGTGCGATTAATTGCACAATTAATTTTTTAATCACACGATTAATTGCAATTTTTTTTAATTGCGTGATTAATCACAGTTAATTATTTTAATCTCTTGACAGCCCTAGAATTTACCAGTAGTGAAGTAGTTTCTTCACAGAACCATTTTTATTCTAAGCAGATGTTCATGCTAACTGTAATTGCAATATTGAAACAATTGAAACAATTCATGCTTTTCATTGTACTTCACTATGGGGCAAATCCAGCACCCAGCTCTAAAGCTAGGATAGACATTGAGAAGGGGAGGGGAGGAGGAGGTATACAGAACCTGATTCCTCAACCCTCCCATGGATCAGAAGACTACACTAGTTGCACTGAACAGCATTTTTCAGCAGCTGGGTAGGAGGAGGCTGGATTTGTTCTTAATGACAGAGTATCACTGAATCCAAGTTTGGTATAAATTAGTTCTACCCTGTATTGATATCTTAGCAGAGAAGGCATATGTGCTTCCTGAGGCATCAAAACTAGCATATCCCACCAAGGATGTAGAGCTGGTGGAAGATATTGGCAATTCCCCTTCAGTTTATTCTTTCTTCATTAGAATTGTATGCATAATTTCAGCATCAGTCCTCTTGTAACTGTGGACTCAGATGAAGCATTTTCTTTTTATGTGTAGTTGGTGTTGCAGACTCTGTCAAATTAAGAGTCTGACCTAGATATACTAATAATCATCATAATTTTTACCCAAAAGGAAGTAAATAATGAATGCAGCTAGAACATGAAAGCTCAAAAATTGAGAAATATGGACATTAAAGGTAAACTGCAGAATGCAAGAAGAGGAATTCTCATCCCTGCATTTAATTACGGGATCTTATTAATGGAGTGAAAAGTACTTTACAAATAAATAAAAAGATACAATTCAGGCTTCAAAAGCTGACAGTCTAAACAGGTAATATGAAGACAAGTAATAGAGTATTGGATACAACCAGAAGCAAATGTTTGCTGGTGATACTTAGCACAGGTCAATTACTTTAAAAAAAAATCGCTATTTTAATACTTCTGAGGAGAGGAATCAAGTTTGTAGACCTCATGCAAGAAGTGAGTTTTTAGGAAGACATCTAGGCATGAAATACTGGAGGCACATGGACCAAGCTAGGGAGGAGTAAAATCAATTGCTTTTAAAAAATATATATACATATCTTAAATACTATACACATTTTTTAAAAAATCAAATAAAAAGCTGTATCTTCACGGTTCAGTGTGGGCAGAAACTCCCCAGTGGAAACTATGGGGATGGCAAGAGATTATCAGATTTGTTTTAAATTGTACTTCAACAAAATGCCAAAATTAGCCTAGTCTAATGAAGTATCAGGAAAAATGTCAGATCCCGCTCAGAGACAGACACATCAGCCACATTCACTCTTAAGGAGATAGTAAAACTGCTTGAAATCAGTTTTTAATATGTTTATTTTTATTTACTAAGTATCTTGTTGTTCTAAAGTATTAATACCTAAATTCTGCAATTTCTCTTTAGCGCTTCAGTCAGACCCTCTGATGCTATGTATTGGAGGGTAGAATTTAATCCCTTATTTAATGAGCTAAGGAGTGACTTGCACTTAGAACTGTATTTTAGGTAAGACGATTTTTAGTCAGTGATGATACATCATGATTCTGTCACCTGCTAAGAAGGCACTTTTCTTTTTTATAGTATTACGTGAGGCAGATGTCGACTGTTTGACCTTAGGACAATACATGCAACCAACAAAACGTCATCTAAAGGTACAAATGCCTTGAATTTACTGGAAGCAGACTATGACCTGCACCTGATACCATTGTTCCCCTTCCCTTGTCAGAATGATGTCTCATGCCCATCTACACACCTTCTCACTATATGTCAGCTATGGATGTTTGAAGAGGACTCCGCTCAGATTGGGTAGCCATTCTTGCTCCTCCCCACCTGCCTTTTCTCAACAGTTAATCTGCTCTTCAGTGTGAGGCTGTTATGGGCTCCATGTTAGAAATTCCTGCCTGATGAATATTGTGAAATGTATAAATCCTAAAGTAATTAAGAGTTTCATCTTGCCACATCCTGTCTGAATGTAGAGTTGGCATTCCAGTTCATTAACATTAATTATACATTTCAAAGTTATTATAGTCTGAGCAGAATTATTTTTTTCCATCAGGTTGAGGAATATGTTACCCCTGACAAGTTTAAACACTGGGAAAAAGTGGGAAATGAGCTTGGATTTCATTACACAGCTAGTGGTCCTCTAGTGCGCTCCTCCTATAAAGCAGGTAAAGTACTGAACAATGTTAAATTATTATGTAAAGGTACAGATGTAAAGTAATTATATCAAAAGCTCACAATAATGGTTCTTTGTTTTTTTATACAGCAAATATACTGTCTTTTATAGTTCCTTTAAATGGGTTGCTATTACTTGAACAATTACGATGCTGCTTTTATACTCACATTTTATAAGACTATTATTATTTAGCACTACACTTACTGCTCCAGGTATGGATTTATTTAAAATGTTGTGTATAATTTGCAACTTTTGCCATTAGCTTCTGAGCAAAGTGGGCTTTAAAACTGCCCTCCCTCATCTGTTGTGTCTTTTGACAGGGCTTCAGAAATAAGCCATTTTAATAACTGATTTTTCTGTTAGAAAGTTCAATGTACTAAATTACAGCTAGCACTACCTGAACTAACATGTAGGCCCATATTCTCTTGTTGTGCGTGGGCAGCAGAAAAGAGCCAGTTGCAGTTCTATGCCAGCTCCAGAATAATATAGAGCACCTTTCAAGTACTTACACCTCACAGCACTGTGTAAAATAGGGAGAATTCCATTTTATTATTGGATATGCTGAGACACAGGATGTTAAATAACTTTCACACAACCAAGCACTAGCAGAGTTGGGGAAGACAACCCAGGAGTCCTGACTTCCAGCCTCATGCTGTGATTGTTAGAATTCCTATTGGGTAGGTTTGGATTTTCTAGAACATTGGCCACAGTATGACTACATGTATACTGTTTTATTTGTTCTGTTTAATCCCCAAAGCAACTAAAACTGATTTATAGGTATTAATTTTCATTTTAATTAGGTGAATTTTTCTTGAAGAATTTAGTAGAGAAAAGGAAGACAAAGGTCATCTGAAGGTGGAAGAGGACCTATTTTAAGTCACCTACAGCTTTAAAGATTCATTTTTTCATAAGTTCATTTAATTCCAAAAATATAGCATCCCACATCATGGAATGAAGAATGAACTTAATATTTCTAGAACACTGCTCCCTTGACAAAACAAAACAATTGACATTAATTCGCCTAGTTCTTCTTAGTCTCTATAAAATTACAGCTACAAGGTACTTTAGTGTTCAGTGAATCATCAAGAGCCTTAGCTTTAGAATGTATCAAAACAGAGACTCTGATTTGGTGAGCAGGGGAATTATGAGGAAAAAATAAAGAGAAATGACATATATATGTAAACAAAAATGGATGGATTGTGAAATCTGGTATAGTGTATTAAATGCTGAAATAAACAAAATCTTGCCACCTGCTGCAGTGGAGTTGTGACTTTTTTCTTCTTCTAGGAGTGCCACCTCTACATTTTTTATTTACTGGGGACCAATACTTGTTAGTTTGAAATGTATGGAATCTTGCTAAGATGTTGACATTTTTATATTAGCACTTCACATCCTGTCTTTTCCTCCTCCTCCCCACATTTTCACTTTCCACCGAGCCCATGAGAGAAGAATGAACCTGTCTAAAATTATACTCCTGAGGGAATTCTGTGCCAAAAAAATTAAACATTCTGCATACAATATTTTAAAATTCTGTGAAATTCTGCAAATTTTATTGGTCAATAAATAAATGTGGAGGTTCCAGCATTGAAGTGGGGAGCACAGGCCCCTGACTGCACTGTGGTGGGAGATCACCTCCAGCTCCTGCCCTAGGACATGCACTCGGCCAGTGCAAGGGCCAGACCTGCCCCAGAAACACCCTGGGGTCCTGCCTCTCCATGCCAAGCACACTAGATGTAGACAAGCAGGCCTAGCCCAGCAGGATCCAAGTGTGGAGGGGCTTAGTGTGGGGAGATCCAGGTGTGGGGTGATAGGGTTCTGTGTGGGGCAGTCTGGGTGCAGACAGCTTGGTGGGGGGGGGTGGGGTCTGGATGAACAAAACTCATGGGGAGGGGTTCTGGATGCAGAAGCAATGGGACTCTGCAGGAGGGGTCCAGGTGAAGGTGGTTAGGGCTCAGCAGCAGGGGGGGCCTGAGTATGGAGAGCTCAGCGGGGGGTAGGGGGTCTGGGTGTTGGTTTGGTGGGGCTCAGTGGGGTGGGGATCTAGGTGCAGGGAGCTAGTCAGGGTGGTCCAGGTGCAGGTGGAGTAGGGCCTATTGGGGAGGTTCACGTGTGGGGGAGCAGTCTGGGTGCAGGGGTGGGGTCCAGATGCAGGGAGGTGGGGCTCAGCCAGGGTGTCTGGGTGCTCCAGCTGCAGAGGGTGAGGCTTGTTGGGGTGTGGGTTTGGGGGTTTGGATGTGGGCTCAGTGTCTGGAGGTTCGGGGTTAGGTGATGAGGCTTAGCAGGGAAAGCTGGGTATGAGGTGGGTCTGGATGCACAGGAGTTGGGCACACGGGGGGAGCAACTCCCTGTACAGTAACCCCTCCCCCCACAACTGAGGAGCGATCGCGGCAGGAAGTGGGGGGGGGGGATGTGGAGCTTCCTGCAACCAGAGGGGTTTCTGGGGGTGGGTCTGACCCTGCCCTGGACGTTCCTTGCGGGGGAAGAGGAAGTCCCATCCTCCCCAGCCCTGCCGGGAATAGCAGCTAAGCCTGGCACAGGGTAGGAGCCACTGGCTGGGGCATCCCCAGTTCCGCCCCTCTCGCACTGATTTACCTCTCCACTGGCTGCTCCGGATACCCAAAACAACGCACCTGTGCTACTGGGGAGCGGTGCATGACCATTTTTGCAGCTTCCCTATCAGAAAGTCATTTTTCTGCAGAGAAGCAAAGAAATCTGTGAGAGACATGAATTCTGTGCACACCCAGTGGTACAGCATTCCCCCAGGAGTAAAAATTAGGAATGGTTAAGTCCCTGCTTCTCAGCTAATTAGCATAAAAGGTTGCGTGCTTTTATATGGGAACCTCATAGCCTTCCTGTTCCATGGCCTTCCCTGGGTGATCTAGCCCTGATTTATTGCATTAGATGGTGTGGTGTTAAGTTAGTAGGATTTAAAAACTGATCATCCAAGAAATTAAGTCATTTTCATTAGTAGGCAATAAAATGCAACAACTAAAGATTCCTATCTTTTTCAGAATTAGTTATGTAAATAGGGTTTTTAATCTGCATGAAAATTCATCATTGTAGCTTTTGGCTAATTGTTACAAGCGGTGTGTTCATTCAACCAGTAGTATTTGATATAAACACCAGAAATATAAAAAGGACTTAGCTATAAGGCTATCATCCAGCTATGAAAAAAGGACATTACACAATAACTAAACTGTTTCTTCCCCCCCCCCCTCATTGTCTGAGGAATGATGATGCTGGAAAGTGTTTCCAATATTATTTCATGTTTGAAGTATTTTATGAAATCAGTGGTGGGTGGATCTGAAGGTTTAAGATATTTGTTTTTCATGCTCTCACTCAACCATTTCTGATACACAGCTTTTATAATTTGAATCTCTACCATGAACCCTGCTAATACATTGTTTGTAACAAAGTTTACTCAGGCTTGCTTCTTAAATGGAGAGGCTTGGTACTTCAATTTTTTAATATTAATTACTTGTTATGTTAGATTAGTATTTAAAACATATCTATTTCAGAACTTTTGAGGACACACACACAGTAAAGATAACGGATGACAAACTTCCCCTCCTCAAATCAGAATTTCTTCAGCCACTCCACTTTAGGAAAAGCCTTCCCACCATACTTGTTCAGAGTTTTCTGTATATACACCAGGCTATAAAGGCATAATACTCATTTCACTTGAGACCAATAAACTGGGAATCTTGTTTTATTAGCTATACAGTACAGGCAAGTTTAATATAACTCTATACATTACTCTGGCATAACCAATCAGAATCTCTAAGTTATACCTCATTTAAAGATCACTTCCATTTAACAAGCTCAAGAAACACTTCACCACATGCCAGTTTCAATTTCACGAGGTCTCCCTTATGGTTAAATATTTCCAACCTTTCTTAAATTTTGATGCTGTACCAGTTTTCTGTGCACCATTAAAATCCTAACCTGAAATCTAACAGGCTTGTTAGAGTCATAGAACTTCCTCTCACTTACATTAAGGTAAATCCCAACCAGCCCCACTAAAGGCAGTGCAGCTACACCAGGTGTAGATAACATAAGCAAGAGGAGAATTGGATTCATTGCTTTTTGAGTGCAGGTCAATAATCCCTCTACACTTGCTGCAGTGACTACTTGTCTGATGCATGGCCAGAAAGGGTTAAACATCCTGCAAAATAAATGACTCAGATTCAACACTTAAAGACATGTGCGGAGATAGTATTTGTGTATTTACATATGTATGGGTAGTGGTCAACAATGTAATCAACAATCCCTGTCTGTGCTGTATTCTGATCATTCAAAGATCAAAAGAACATCCTAGCATTTAAAAGAAGTGAAAACACGGGGTATCTCTGTATTCATCTCTCTTTGACAAGTATAGCAAATCATCAGTGAATGGTAGAGGAACAGGCGATTGTCTTATGTTAAGTCATATAGCTAAGTACTGGTGATAGACCCACTTCAAAGATGCCCTGATTACCGATTGTTCCCCGATGGACTCCAACTTGTCAGACAACTTGAAATTGTATAAAAGATCCTTGGGTGCTGATCCTTTTTTATCTCAGATCTGCTTAAGCTTCATCAGGGGATGTTTGAGTCACAAGATGAGATCCCAGTTAAGCTGGTACACCCTGGATATGATATTGGACATTGGATTATAACCTATTAACTAAATTCTAAAGGAACTCTTTGCAACTACAAAGCACACCATCTCTGCTATGTATCTGAACCTCAAGAATTGAACTCATGTCTGTATGTATACTGATCTTTTAACCATACTCTCTCCCTTTTCTTTTAAAATAAATTATGATGAAATAAAATTTTCAGAAATCATCGTATTTGACTCGGGAGGCCTGAGGCTGGGTTACTTTAAGGGAACTGTGTTATTGGTTTCTGGGCAACCAGTGAGGTAATAAAGAAGTTGTTTTATACTGGCTTGGCACATTTAAGTATTGAAAATATCCATCACCTTTGGGCATTATCTGCCCCATTCTTTGAGTGACGACAGCTGGCCCCCCTGGAACCCCGGTCACAACTGGCTATGCACTATGCTTTAATTTTGTTGTTTTCAGTGAGTTTGTGAATCAAGATATTTTCAAAATTGTAAAAGGCACTTGTATTCAGTCATTTAAGAATTCATCCATGGGAAGCCGGGTGGGGGGAGGGGGAGAGTTAATGGATTTTTGTCATCACTGCCAGAAGCCAGAAATTTTGCTGAATATTTTTTAAAAAGCCATCGTTTGACCAAGTCTGAGGAGTTTCAGCCCAAACAGAAAAAATAAGAGTTATGAAAAGGATGAAAACAAGATTTCAGAAAAGAATGGCCCTTTCAATTTTTAAAACTTTGTTTCTAAAATATCTTAAAAGCACTGTGAGTTTATAAGCTCTTTGGGCAGAGACTGTCCCTTGCTTGTACCTAGCAGAATCTGGCCTGTTGTGATAAATGAGTCAACAAATTTACCCAAATTGTGGCTTCAACTGTAAAATGCATGTAAAAGTTCATAAGATGTTACAATAACCTATAATAGCAAATGCTGAAGGGAAAAGGTACAAAAGGGAGAAAGAATAACTAAATTAATCTAAACAAAAAGGCCAGGTTGATATGATTCCAAGACTGTGCTGAAATTATGCTTATTAAAAACAGGAGACATGGAGCCCAAAGTTAATGACTTAAAATTGATATTTTGGATATTAGGCCTACTTGTGGACAAAATAAATGAGGGAATGGGCTATTCCATCCATCACTCCTTTTTTGGGTTCCTAAAAAAGATTTTTGTGAGAAAAGTAGGAAAGAACAGACTAATGGAGCAAGCTTTACCATTATGGCTGCCATCCCCACCACGTCCTGGGACCCCGGGGTTTGTCAGCCTGATCCCGAATGATGTCAGCAGGGGGGTAGCCACGGGTGGGCCTGAGTTGATTTATCATCCAGGCCCACCACCCCAGTCCCAACCCGCCGCAGCACTTGCCTCACTCCCCCAGGGAGCAGGGTTGGGGAACAGGGGCTTGCAACCCCCCACTCCCCGACAGAAGTGCTGCCCGGGTGGAACGGAGCAAGCCCCCGACCCCGCTCTCCAGTGGGAGTGCCAGGCTGAGCAGGGCAAACCCCGAGCACCCGAGGGGGAGGGAATGGTGGGAGAGGGCACACTTTTTCCAGGGCCCCTGGCCACAGCATCTATTGGCCCTCCCCAAGGGGCTGGAGGGGGGGGGAGGTGGCCCCAATCGCTCCTACACTTACCCTCCTGTCATTGCCCACCCACCCTAAGTCGGGGCCCACTCAAATGTCCCATCCTTGCTATGCTACTGCTGTACACACTGGGCCAGAAACAGAGGGGGGACCACTAGCTGTCGCCTTCAGCCCCCAACTAAAACCTCTCCAGCGCATCATCAAAGATCTACAACCTATCCTGAAAGATGATCCCTCACTCTCACAGATCTTGAGAGACAGACCTGTCCTCACTTACAGACAACCTCCCAACCTAAAGCACTCACTCACCGGCAACCACACATCACTGACCCAGGACCTATCCTTGTAACAAAGCCCGATGCCAACTCTGTCCACGTATCTATTCAAGCGACATCATCATAGGACCTAATCACATCAGCCATACCAACAGGGGCTCGTTCACCTGCACATCTACCAATGTGATATATGCCATCATGTGCCAGCAATGCCCCTCTGCCATGTACATTGGCCAAACCGGACAGTCTCTCCGCAAAAGAATTAATGGACAAATCTGACATCAGGAATCATAATACTCAAAAACCAGTGGGAGAACACTTTAACCTGTCTGGTTATTCAATGACAGACCTGTGGGTGGCTATTTTACAACAGAAAAACTTCAAAAACAGACTCCAACGAGAGACTGCTGAGCTGGAATTGATATGCAAACTAGATGCAATCAATTTAGGATTGAATAAGGACTGGGAACGGCTGAGCCATTACAAACATTGAATCTCTCTCCCCTTGTAAGTATTCTCACACTTCTTATCAAACTGTCTGTACTGGGCTATCTTGATTATCACTTCAAAAGTTTTTTTTCCCCTCTTACTTAATTGGCCTCTCAGAGTTGGTAAGACAACTCCCACCTGTTCATGCTCTCTGTATGTGTGTACATATATCTCCTCAATATATGTTCCACTCTATATGCATCAGAAGAAGTGGGCTGTAGCCCACGAAAGCTTATGCTCTAATAAATTTGTTAGTCTCTAAGATGCCACAAGTACTCCTGTTCTTTTTGCGGATACAGACTAACACGGCTGCTACTCTGCAACCAGATGACATTGCCACTCATACCAGCTCCAGCTGAGTCCCAACCACTACCTGAGATAAAAGGGGATTGGACAACAGCAGCAACTCCAGCCCCTCTCACTTAACTTCTTCTCTTTTCCCCAAAAGAACAATTATTACCATTTTACTATTACGGTATCTAACCGACTGTCCAGTAAAGTTTTTTTTCCTTCTAAAAGCTCTCCAGCTAAAGGGAAAGGGAACAAGGAATGTTGTTAAAATGAAAGCCTTAATATTTAACAGTTATAGCATGTGAAAGGTTTTTTCTTTCTTTTCTGTATCTTTAATCAAAAATGTAATGGATTTTTAATAGTGTATTTCCCAATGTAGTAAGCAGGCTGAGATCTCAGTATATCAAACTCTGAACCTTTTGTAACACAGTTTCATGTTGTACAGTGACCAAGTTATGTTAACACCTTTGGTCCTATTTTCCATCTAAATTCATATGACAGGCCCCCTATCACCACACTATTTGAGCACCTCACAGATTAATTTTTTCTCCTTACAAAACCTCTGTAAAATAAGGGTCTCTCACAGGTGGAGAATTGAGGCATTAAGGCCCCAATCCTAAAGTTAAGCACATGTAAATATATTTGCAGAACAGGCTTAATAACTTGCCTAGGGTCCAAGAAGTCCATGACAGAACTAGGAACTGACCACTGGTCTCCTGAAGCCAAATCCTGTCCTTCCTCTAACGGGGCTCTGAGGTTATCAATAATTCAGAGTATAAGAGGATGATGAAGAGCAATTTCTAACATTCTGAAATAGAGACTACAGTAGCACCTTGCTGACCTGCAGGCTTTATAGCTCATACACACACAAAAATGGTCTCTCCCCAGCTCTAATATATAAAAAGGACAACAAGAGGACAAAAAAAAAAAAAAAAAAAAATCGACTTCTTTCAAAAAAAAAAAAAAAAAAAATCTATTTCTACAG